GGAAGTGTAATTTACAATAATACATCCTTGGGTAACATTACACTACCTGGGTGCAACACTCATCCGTGTGTAGTGTATCAGGCAGGTTACGCTACTGGAAGTGGCAACTAGTTTCCACCTGAATTGGTGTAATGTTCTACACTAATTAGGTGTTATCAGTTTACACCACTATAGGTTAGGAGTTACCCCTAACCACCTTATTATTTTTAACAGTGTACGTATAGAAATGACCTAGCTAACCAGCCTCATCTCCCAAAGTGGCCTAAATAAGAAACAACGTACCCACTTAGACTTGGCACATATTTTATCTCGTAGTAACTTTCAGTACACATGTAAGTCAACAATGAGTGTACAAAATGATGACAAGCTCATGGTCAAACTGACAATTTAAAACGTCTCTTAAACTGAAGCTTAATACCCAGATCAATTACCCGGATACGTTACTATGTATAAGGTGGATAGATTTCATGTGCGGGGTTCACAAACGAGGTGTATATTTTGAAGGTTAGTGTGCCATGACTTGACCCATTAAATTATGTGGCGCAATCATGTTAAGGACAAAAGCGCGGCTTACGTCTTGGTACATATTATATTATAATGTATGACAATGTTAAAGGGAACATAAGACTATACTGAGCATGGCTTTACAATTATCAAACATTCCAACCTGAAGACAATGGTGTACAAAAGAATTTGTCCGCTCGATATAGAGATCGCAAAGGTTGATCGTCAAATATTATAGTTTTGATTATTTTGCCTTATATTAAGCATGAGATAATAATCCCTGATTCGAAATATTTTCATCCGTGCTATTTGAGAAAGTTCACTGTCGTCTGATTTCCTCTTGTCAGTGGTACTGGTCAAGGAACATTTGAAATCACTTATCATTCTCCCAATTACATTTTCATTTGTGATTTGGGGGGTCATGGTGGCTAAGTGGGTAAGTGGGCGTTCGATCCCTGCATTGGCTGAGAAAGTTCATCCAGATTTTCCGACGTGGTTTCCCTTGTCAGTGATGCAGGACGGGGGGGGGGGGCTGAGTAGAACAGCTGTCTAGTCGTTTGGATGGGGCAAAAAACCGAGGTTCCGTGTACACATCGGCGTGTACGTAAGAGATCCCTTGACAGTTCGAATTCGTTATAAGAGTAGGCCGAATCGCCGCTGCCCGGGCAAAATTTCGCTCATAGCACACAGTATGGCGTATGCTCGTCTTCATTAGCCCAGTTTAGGAGCAGAACAGTAGGACGTTAAACCCCATTTCTTTTCATTTGTGATTTGTAGTTTATTCTTTAAAACAGACATGCTGATGCTCATGCTAATCAGTTTTCACAATTTCATTTAATTTATACCTGGATAATGGACAATACGTGAAAACTTTTAAATTTTAAGGTCATCTCAAGGACGAATTTTAATTTCAAATAATATGAGATTCATGTTGACCTGTAAGTACCAAGGAGTAGGGTCTCCTGATCAACCTCGTGGGTTTTCTCCGGGTCCTCCCACTGTTGAAGACTCCTGCGCGCAAGCGAGTTATTGAAATAAAATTGTGCCATATGTTAGTCCCGAAACGACCTGGTTTATGTTGAGTGGACGTTAAACCCCATTTCTCTCTCTTTCTCTCTCATGCTCATGTTTTATCGCTTATATCTCTTCTTTTCTTAAATAGAGAAAAATCTATACATGTTCAGAGTATCGTGTCTGTTTGGGTCACAAATGCGAGTTTTATAAGGTATTGTAGTATTACGTGTGAAGCATAATGAAGGTATATTTATTTAAAACTATAATATCAGTTTGTTAACCATGCGTGTATTGTACGGTCAACACTATTGTTGAAACTTACCTACACACCGAGTGGTACAATGTTTAAAGTGGAATAAACCAAAAGGTTCTGTACTTATCACATTAATATAAGTTAGCGTTCAAGAGCGCTGTTCGGCCTCCAAGCCGCGCCTCGGGCGAACCGAGGAATTCCCGCCCGGCCGTCTCTTACCCGCCAAGCCGCGCATTATTTCACAGTCGAGAAATCAAAATTTGACATTCTGATTTAAAACACGTACTATATTAACACTATTATTTGAGCGAGTAATCTGCAACTTTGGGTTAAGTTGTCAAACTTAATGATATAGGTACAATACTCTTTGAATTATTCCACATTGTGTTTGTGGGGGTGGGGGACACCCAATATATAAGATACATTTATACCTTGGGTGTCGTGTTTCGGGGTTTTGTTTCTTGGCAACCAACTTCAAATTGATTTTGTTTTTGTCCAAAATACTGGTTTCAAGATTAATGAATCATTATATACATTGCACTAGGGTGGATCGGGAAGATTGTCTCCCCCAGGTTACGATATAACATGTTGAATTTCAAGTGTGATTTGTACCCAAATATGCTACTTTCATTTCTCAAATAGTACCAAAAGCTCTTTTTTTTTCTAAATTGACATCATCGGTATTGCCCCACTGCTTCGTTATTCTTTTGTCAGCAGTGAGATAACTGCCCCACTATTTACTTCACTGCACGTTGTGGTGGACAACTAAATCTGTTTACATGTACATTATATTACAAAGCAGCATTTATGTAAGCTACAGAGAGAGGGAAATGGAGTTTAACGTCCAATCGATACAAACTGTCATTTCGGGACAACACATGGTTCAATTTTATTTCAATAACTCGCTTGCGCTTAGGGGTCTTTAGCAGCGGGAGGACCCGGAGAAAACCCACAAGGTTGGATAGGCGACCCTACTCCTTGTCACGTACAACCGGGGAATCGAAACCACGCCAGTTGACTCAATGACAAACCATGTGATACAACGCGCACGTGCTAACCATTCGGTCATCCAACCCCCTATCGCTTGTGGACTTTATTGAAGCTGACATTATCACCTCTCACCCTGTTGACTTGCAATACATGCACAGTGATTATGGTCAGAGGTAAGACCCTTGATCATTTAGAAAATTCTTGTGGACACTCTAATGTGATTATGTTCGTAACTCGAAAAATGTTATTAAATCCAATTGATTTTTGATCGATTACAAGTGTCTTTGGATTACCGGTACACGTTTTGTTTATGTTAGCACCAGTAAAAACTATAAGTCTATGAATTTGTTTCTTTATTTCTGAAAATAACTTCATTTGTCGTTGGCCCTGGTCACATTACCGTGTGGCCCGCTCAGAAGATTTAGCTGTTGGGGGGGGGGGGGGGTATTTCGTTGCCCGGCAACCTATCTTTAAAGGGACTGATTATGAGGACAAATGTCTTGTTAAACAGGTGACCCTACTCTTTTCCACGTACAATTGTCATATAAAACTCATTAATTGCTTAGATATTGTACCTATAACCCCAGGTGATATATGTGTATTAGATCTCGTTTCCTTCCTAGGCCTATATAGCCCAGTGTTTGTAAATACTAGTCTGTAGGCCTACAAATAAGGAGCTAAATGGCTAATATTTGGGACCTCCAAATTGACACAAATAGGTCTCAACGTATATAATGATGTAATATGAATGTAAATAAACTGATTTACATTCAATCGTTTCCGTTTTTACTCTAATTTCAAAGTAGTTATGTTCGGCGAAATACGTACGCCAGAAGTCTCAATCGAATGGCAATCTCTAGCGTCTGGTTATTCCACTCTTTACCGATAGTATGTATTGTGCATGCTCTCAAGATAAGAATATGGCATCCCCGTTTTACATGACTTGTTATATATGTCTAACCTCGTTCTTCGAGTCGCTTGTTACAAATTGCGCTGAAACGGATTATGGTACACGATTCGTGTACCAATCGTAAAATGTTTATTGTGTCTTAAATATTGGATATTAGAAGCCCATCTTTTCCCGGTAAGATCACAACATCATTGTTGGTTTAAACTGATAAATAATTCGTGTTTTCAATGTCGAATATATTGGATGATATTGAGTTAGAGACTTAGCTACTTTAAATAATTACATAAAAAAGCACCCCCCCCCCCCGAAGGACATGATATCAAGCGATCTAGAAAGATTAAGCATACCCTTGTGCACGACATATGCTATACAATACTTGTAATCCCAGGTGCGACGGGGGGTTGGATGGCTGAATGGTTCGCGTGCGCGCGCTGTATCATAAAGTCTGTCATTGAGTCGACTGGGTGGTTTCGAATCCCCGGTTGTACGTGGCAAGGAGTAGGGTCGCCTGTCCAACCTCGTGGGTTTTCTCCGGAGCCTCCGGTTTCCTCCCACAGTTAAAGACCCCTACGCGCAAGCGAATTATGTAAATAATATTAAACCATATGTTAGTCTCGAAATGACCTAGTTTGTGTCGAGTGGACGTTAAACCCCATTTCTCTCTCTCTCTCTCTCTCTCTCTCTCTCTCCCAGGTGCGATATTAATTAGGTCTAGAAAGAAAAGGCATACCCACCCTTGTGCATGACATCTGTGAAGATCATATCTTAGAAAAATATGACCTGTAGTAAAGCTTAATATTATTTTTACAACCCTTCTCTTTATAATAGGTGATATAATTATCCACCATAAGTGTATTACATAATAGATTTATTGTGTATATATCTCTGGGCGATTTATTGACGTATATAAATATTGTACGAACGTACTGATTAACACACAGTTAATATACATGTATATGCTTGACACAGGAAACGGTGTACGAAACTCGCATCGCTTAAGAAAGGGTCGTTTATTGTTAGTTATTTATGAAAACTCGCATTTCTGAGAAAAGGATGTGAATAACCAACAAAGGAGGTGCTACATGTGAAAGCGGTGTTTTGTCTTTTCTTTATCAGCTATAGCCGTGTTTCAATTAAGGGAAACATGCTTTTATTGTGAGAGGGTGAACAATAGATCGAGCATCGAGGTATGAAAAGGTAACTTTATGTAACAGCAAGTCATGTAGTGAAAGAATTCAAACACCATTTACAAACGCAACGACGGGAAGATATACATGTTGATTAAGTAGGTCTGTGATATATATAAGTTTCTTTAAATTTTTATTGTAGACAACCCTGCAAAAATGATCTTTAGAGTTCTTGGAAAGGAAGATGTTTCCGAATTAACTGAAAAATTAAGAGGAGGTTTCCCGGGGTCCGCTAAGGTGAGTCCATGTTACCTTTATTATTTATGCATTTTTTAAATGTTCTTTTAAACGTTTTTCTAGCCCCATTAAAATTTTACAGGCAAAAATCAAGCCGTGCGTGTGGATGTTTTCATTCCACATTGCATATTCGTATATTGCTTTATATATAGTTTCCATATACTAAGTCGATCAAGACCTAATGGTGATCTATGGTATATCACGCGTGTTGACTGGGGCACGTTCGATTGTAGCCAACATTATCATCTTACTTCAATGCTGACCAGCTGACAGGCTGACCACCACGTGCAAACGGCGTGGTCAATGGATGATTGAACTCTGAAGTACACATGGTCAATCGAGATAGCCGTTAGTGTTGCGTAACACAATGCAATATTTCCATAGAAAAATGACCTAAAGGGGTTTTACCTAGATAATCTAATATAACTGTGATTTAGTCATTTATAAGTAATACGATGGCAATAATCATCAAAGCCAGTAGTGTTACTAAATATAGGACATCAGGATTAACTGCTAAAAGTTTATGTCCTGTTTCAAATTACCAAAAAAAAAGAGAAAATTATGAAAAACTAAGTGCACTGCGGGTCGTTAATTCATCTAAAATTCTCGTGTTTTTACAACCTTGCATCAATTCTGCTTTTCCATTAGTTAGGAGACAGTATTATAACTGCTTTATCACATAGATTCCGCTACTCTAGACCTAGAATTTAAAATATTTATTTGGCTTTTTATACGCCCATGTTGTACATAAATGTATTATCCACGTTTTTAAAATTTTATATATTATAATATACTGTTTACATTGTCGAGATAAAGAAGCCGTTTTGAAAATAAATTATCAAGTTATTACCCCTGTTCCCACTGTATAAAGTGAAACTCAGAAGCACATCGAATTTCAACAATTTTTGTTAATTATACCTAGTAGCCTCTTTTGTTATAACTTCGATGGTTCAGACTGATAATCAATTGATGCGTAAATAACAATGTCGGCATTTTATACGCCCTTGTAGTAATGTTTTCGGTTTGTTAATGTTATTGTGAATGTCGGGTGATATATTCAATACTCACCTTTTTTAAAATGAAAATCTACATTTTAATGAAATTTCCAAACAAAAATACAGAATAAATAAGGGTTAGTAGATGACATCCATTTATATGGCTTTATAGTCAGGAGTAACAAATGCATGAATATAGCGAGCTGGGGTTTAAAAAGAAAATAATAAAAAAAAACAGGTTTATTTGTCACGATTATTTTGGTCAGACGAAATAGTTTTAAAAAAATAGCTTATTAATCTACGAAGTTTTAAACCGGTCTAAAGTAAGCGTGTGAACGGCTATTAGATATTCGATGAAGAAAATAATAAAAAGGGTTTTGTCTATAGTATAAGCTCGAACACAAAACTAATGGGAACGGATGCGTGCTTAATGGGAACTGAAGACGTAGGACTCGCTATCCGTGACTCGAATCAGATAACTGGTTCAAATCTTAAGCATTTAAACGCACTTTACTTATTTAAATCTGACAATATTATTAGAAAAAAAATAATTAGATAATCTAACAAAATTACGAAATTAGATAATCTAACAAAATTACGAAATTAGATAATCTAACAAAATTATGAAATACGTTATGTAAAAACGGAAACGCCAGTGCTATTGGAGATACTATATATTACAATTGAAGTAGAAACATCAAATATTAACGAAGCAGTAGTTTTACAATATCAGTAATCTTTATCAATAGGCCCTTCTGTTGTTCCCACCTTTAATATTATATTCCCAAGAAAAGGGAAGCGAGAATTCAAGTTGGTGTGGCCTTTATGTTTACCACCTGTTAGTAATCGGTGTCAATTCGGGTTAATATTATGTTACGGTGACATAATCGAGACACATAATTGGTAAAGTGACGTATCTGGACTAGTGTTTACATAATATTTTCGCTACTCCTTTAAATCAAACAATTCTTCTGAGTAATTATGAAACGCCAATCTTTTAGCCCAGTTATATTAAATTAAGACATTTAGAGGACCATAGCAATGAAAAGAGTTTTAGCGATTGAAATACAATGTTTAAGATTCAAACAAATAAAGAAACAAGCCCATCTGAACCAAAAAAAAATGACTTGTCCCAAATTACCAATTTCAAAGCGTTCGCCAGGGTTCTGGCATGCACAGATCGTTCAAAGCAGTCTTATCTTTTAAGTCACAACCACTTTTCTATGGACGTCGTGTGGAACCCTAATTACAACCATGAAATTTAGTTAAGGCTAATCTGGTGTTGACGGATACGATACACCGCATTAGAGCAGAACAATGTTAATCTCATGTTTAAGGTGACACCAGAAGTATTTGACCTATGCTGTGACGTATATAAATCAGTACACATGTATTCAATAGCACGTCATAATCGATCACCTTTAATTGATTTGTTCAGGTTAATCTATGTTATGGGGACACGAAACGTATTAGGGCTAATCGTTTTATTGTATACAATGGCGTAACCAGTTTGATAAATGACACCAATTCTGTAGAATGCCATGACATTGATACAATAACGTAACCAGTTTGATAAATTATGTCAATACTTTTGAATGTCATGACGTCGATACAATAACGTAACCAGTTTGATAAAGTATACCAATACAATAGAATGCAGCGATATTGAATACAAGAACGTAATCAGTTCTATAAATAATGTCAATACTGTAAAATGCCTTGGCATTGGTACAATAACGTAACCGATTCTATGAATTAGCAAGTTTGATAAATTATGTTAATACTATAGAATACCACGACATTGAATACAAAAACGTAACCAGTTCTATAAATTAAGTCAATACTGTAAAATGCCATGACATTGGTACAACAATGTAACCAGTGTTATAAAGAATGTCAATACCGTCGAAAGCCATGACATTGATATACTACCATTGAATGCCATGACGTACAATAGCGTAACCACATTATGTAAATACTCTAGAATGACATGGCATTGACAATAAAGTAACTATTTTATAAATTATGTTGATACTGTAAAATGTCATGACATTGATCGAATAACTTGACCAATTACAAAACTTTGTCCATTTCATTTTTTGGTAATTCATAAATATCTCTTAATTTATTGATTATATAACTTTTTTTCACGCGATGACATACAATAACGTATAAAATGTTATGAATTATGTCAATACTAGAAAGTCATGACATTAGTACAATAACGTAATCACATTCATGAATTATGTCAAATCTGTAGAAAGCCATGACATAACATGTGGCACAATAACATAACCACATTTATAAATTATGTCAATACCACAGAAAGCCATGACATTGGTACAATAAGGTAACCAGTTCTATAAAGTATGTCAATGCTGTAGAATGTCACGATATTCTAACGTGACCAGGTCGATCAAGTGTACCAATTTCTGTAGAATGCCACGACATTGAACCATTAAATATTACAGCCTTGTAAAAACAACACTAAACTGATTACAGCATTTCGTAATGTGCAACAATAATAATGTACATTATATCCGTTATTTCTAAAATAGATCACCTCAGACGAAAACTAAACAACAACATTGCCTGACATTTACCTGGAATATTTGCACACGATTTATCTAGGCAGGTAGCTATGTACCTTCCTGATAACAAGGTATTACATCATTTTGTTCAGTGTATTTTGTGTTTAAACACGAGACGGCAGAATGGCAAATGGCACGTTGTTCTAAAGGTGTTTGATTAAAAACCAATCGTCCTTGTCTGGTTTCAATCCAACCCCGCGGCAAATGTTTCACACTTTGAGAACTCAGAATAACAGAGGAAATCGAAGACTCAGATCAAAAAGATTTTAGGTTTGAGATTTACCGTATTGACTCGAATCAGACTTGTATTTCCCAGCGAAAATATACACCACTTTCCGATCACGCAATGCATCAGTCTTGGCAAGAAGATGCGCGAATGGCCGAATGGAATTCTTTGAAATGTGGCAGGAATTTACCTTAGATAGGTATGGAACAGGACCAGTGGTAGATCTTAATAGTGACAGAACAGGACAAGGGGGAGGCTTAATAGGGACGGAACTACACAAAGGATAGACCTGATAGGGGCGGACCAGCACAAGGGATAGATGTGATAGGGGCGGAACAGCACAAGGGATAGACTTGATAGGGACGAAGCAGGTCCAGGACACATTTTTGACTCATTCTCTGAGAAATATTGCCGGAGTTTGATTTCAAATTGATATAAATGTTGTTGGTTGCGGTTGTTCCAGGTGGGGGTGTGGTTTTTGACTCATTTCCTGAAACATATAAATGTTGATATGATTGCAGTTATTCCAGTTGTTCATAGGGGCGTGATTCTTTACACTTCCTTTAATAGATGATACCGGATTTCGATGTTAAAAATCCTTCAAACCAAGCAGTGATAAGTTTATTTAATAGGAACACATTTCGTTAGAGGTCAGCTTACCAAAACGAAGGTTCATACGTGACTATTATAGAGTTTTAGAAAAGGGATGGTTTTATTTTCACACAAATTAAAATTAGAATTCGGTGGGCATTCATGGAGACCATCTTACAGGCCATAGTTATCGGTCACCTAATCCCTTGATAGTGTGTACATTAGTCAAATGCCTGAAGTATCATGTAACAAACTTGATGGGTAATATCATGCGTTTGATAGTTTCATGCAGTTAAACATGCATTATGCAAGAGCAAAATCTGCTTATTACAAGTCTTTCTTTAGGCCTGAAATGTTATTTAAATTATCAATTAGACATTAATTAACTTATCCAGACCATAATAAACTCTCGATATCAAGTCTAGCCTTCGATGTTGGCTGGATTAGATTCCTATATGCCGCTAACGGCCACTGATAATTAAATCAGAAAAAGTGGATAATCGAGACTATGCTGTTTATATTAATGATTTTAGTAATGATGACCGAGACTATGCAAAAATTTCACCCGCTTCTTTCTCGGCTCATAGTGGATCAATT